GCTAGGACGAGGATAGGTCCGTTCCAAAGCGATCTGGAGCGCTCTCAGAGCGTTGCGGAACGCTCTGAAAAGACCGTGGCGTCCGAGACATTCTCCAGAGCCGCCAGATCTCAGAGATTCTCAATGTATCCCCACCTGATGTTATCCCCGTCCTGGCTTCGTCTTTGGTCTGGGGCTCTGGTCGTGATGTTTCACGATGTTGCCATTTCTCGCGTCGTCGGTTCGCAGTGCAAGAGGCCCCCCGAGCAACCCAGGGCGGTTTCAACACCCCGGCGCCGCCTTCGGCGCCGCTGGGGTGCTCCGTGCCCGAGGGAGCTCCGCGCCCCAGGGTGGTGGTGGACTACTCGGAGGAGGGGAAATAGCCACAGTCACAGATCAACGTCGACTTCCATGTTCGCCCCCAAGCAGTGCGTGTTTCTAGCTACATACGGTGTGCAGTCGATGCAGAGCAACAGATGTGGTGCAATCTGCGTGGTTATGCGGTGCTATGTGGAGCAACGTACGTGTTGCGACCTAAGTTGTACCATCTATGTAGTACAATTGCTGTCGTGCAATCTCTGTTGTGCAATCTACATGGGGCAATCTATGTTGGACCATCTATGTGGAGCAAGCCATGTGGTGCAATATATGGGGTGCAAGCTATGTGCTGCAACCTAGGGCGTAAGATGTGTGTTGTGTAAGGTATGAAGGGCAATATTTGCGGTGCGATCTTTCTTGGTACAGTCTATGTGGTGCAATAGTGTAATCTTTGCGCTGCAATCTAGACGGTGCAATCCATGTGTTGCAATCTATGCGGTGCGATCTTTGCAGTGCAGATGCGAGGCGGCGACGGGACGGTAACGGCGACGACGGGGGCTTGACGACGAGCACGGAGCCGCCAGACCGCCACCCAGGCCCAGACGATGGGCGGCGACGCGGCCGCGACGGGGCGGCGACGGCGAGCACGGAGCCGCCAGACCGCCACCCAGGCCCAAACGACGGGCGGCGACGAGGCGGCGACGGGACGGCGACGGCGAGAACGCAGCCGCCAGTTCTTCAGAACAGAAGTAAGGACTCCTAAGTGCAAGCGCTGTTTGAGGAATATTGGAAAATACATGAAACGGAGAGGGGGCCAATGCAGGAAACATTGGCACATGTTGGGTATCCCGGAATTGTGTCGAATCGTTTTGTGCCTCCTTGGGCCCCTTGATGTTCGAGGGGCCGTTTGAGGCCAGCCAGGACTGCCTGGGGGCCGAAGCCTTACCAGCTTGCCCTCCTGCTCCTCGCTGTCCTCCTCCCCCTTCTCTCCCCCTCATCCTGCACGGCGACTGCGGCGGAGCTTCGTGCCGCGCGTCTCCTTGAGAGACTCGAGTTGATCCTGCTGCTGCTGCTGGCCCTGTTCTTGATGCGGCCCCGACACGGCAAGGGCCACTGAAAATATAAATTGCGTGAGGCCCTGAGAACGGACGAGCAAGGTCGTTTGGGGATCTCTTCGAGCAGATGTTGATTTTCTCGATTGGTCCGGGCCGAGATCACCTCAGACCTTGAAGCCAGGTTCCGGCATCGTTCCGATTGACCTGTTCTATGATATGAGAGTAGGTTGTATACGCATGACGTGGCCCGCCTGGGCGAAAGGTGGAGACATTTGTGGCCGCATATCTCCACACTGCGTCTCATCGACCTATCCCGTTCTCGCTTCCCTGCCGACCTCGCCATGAAGCGAAATGGTCTTGAGGGAGACGGGTCCTGACCCGAATGCTTTTCCCAGTTCCAGTTCTTCACCCTGGGCTGCTTCTTGACGGTCCTGGGCTCCGTGCATGGCCCAAGGAGGGTCCGAAAATTGCAAGTCAAAACTCCAGGACCCCTTTCTCCAGGAACCGCTCGCTTTATGGCAATCTGGGTTCGGGGGGGTAAAATCACCCCCCCCCCCAACCTGTCCAGTGGAGCGTTCAAATGAGCGACGCAAGAAAACGAGGTCGACTGCGCCGACATTCGCGCGTAAGCAGCCCGCGTAATTTCAAAGCGTAAGCTCCCTCGTCTCCAATGTAGTTTGCCGCGCTGGCGGCCCGCGTCAGCCGCCGCGTAAGGACGCCACGTCATCTCGCGCAAGACCCGTTCCTCATCGTTGCCCGGATGAGATACTTCGATTCGGGCGGAGCGGAGAGAATTATACACATGCACCGATTTTGGCAAGGCCCGTCCTTGACCCAGGATCGGTGCATATACCTTCCTGGCCAAGGTAGCGGGCATATGCACCAATCCTGGGCTCAGGATGAGCCTGGCCAGAATCGGTGTATGTGCATAGTTCTCGTTCCTCTATCGGTGGGATCCGTCCGTGGCGTTGAGAAGCCTGCAAGATCATAAATATTTTGCTTCGGGCGATCCCCGCCTGAGAGCGCGAGGCGGGTTCCCCAGGGCGCACCAGCACCCTCGAGGGCTGGCGTCCGCGGCATGCCGTCGCCACTCGTCGAGGACACGAGGCGCGAGCCCCCTGGGGAGCACGGGCACACGCTGGGCCTTGCGGCCGCTGCATGCTCTTCCCCTCAAATCTAACACTCGGAGGTTGATAGACCTCCTACCCTGCCACGTGGATTGGCGAATTGGCCGTGTTCGGTTCGCGAGAGGGCGTCGCGGCCGCCATTTTTGCGGGTCCAGGTCCGTCGGTTGCCGTCCCAGGCCGTTTTCACTAAAGGGAGGTTTGCTAAAGGGAGGTTTGTCCACCGCCGAAACACCCCCAACCGGTCGGGTGGGGGAACAGCTTGGTCGGGAACATTTGACCATCGTGTCGCTCCGCTGGTGCCGGCCCACCACGCTTCGGCGCGACTCGCTTTCCATCTCACCACTCCCAGGCGTCAACGTCCCGAGCCTTTCCCAGCCTTCCGCCCCGCGGCGCGGAGCGACACGCTATCCGCTTGCAAGGCACAGCGTGTCGCTGGGGCCGCCGCAGCGACACGCTATCCAAAAGTTCCGGACCGTTTATGAATGTGCAGACAATTCGGAGAGCCCTCGATCTTCGCCTCCGTGCCTCCCGCCATCCGTCCACCCACCCGGCTGAACTGCTCGCCTTCCTCGGCTTCGTCTTTTTGCCTTCTCCCGTTCCCACGAGGGCGCCAGGTGGGCTGCAGGTCCCCAGGCACCCGGCGTCATGGTTTTTCTCATGACGTCGACTGCCAGAGATTTGGACCCATTCCCCAGGACCAGATTTTCATTGCGAGATTGGGCGCGAGTTCATGGGGGGTGATGAATGGAGGGGGGCAGCGAGGGTCGCAGAAGGGGGACCCTTGGGGACCCTTTAGGGCGCCAGAGGGGGCCTTTCGGTTCGAAGAAGGCACCTTTGCCCCCCCCCCCCCCCCAGTATCGCCCCTCTATGAATTCGCGCGAGATGAAGTGCTTTTTGGAGTTCCCGGGCCTAGAGAGGGCCCAAGCGGCCGGAGATAGCGACACGAAAATCCAGCCGTGTTTTTTTCACGACGCGAGGGGGTTTGGGTGCCTCTCACTGTCGCAGGTTGCCTCTCCGATTTCTGTGGCCTCCACGCCCCCGTCGCGGGAGGGGGAGGAAGCAGAGGAAGGAGGAGCATAATCAGCAGGAGGAGCAGGATGATGATGAGGAAGAGGAGGGGAAGGAGTAGGAGGAAGAGGAACAACATAATGAGGAAGGCAATCAGGTTGAGGGAGGGTGAAGATTCTGATGAGGGCGAAGAGGTTTGGCGCAGAGTATCAGGGCAACGTATGATTAAGAGAGTGAGAAGGAGGAGAAACATCAAGAGAGGGAGGGAGAGAGGGAAGGAGGAGGATGAGGCGGATGAGGAGTAGAAAGCAGCAGGATTCTGAGGCGCTGGAGAAGCGGCAGGAGAAGGTACCGTAGATGAGAAGGTCGAGCGACCAGCCAGCTGGCCAGTGCGCATGTGCCCAGCTTGTAATCGCGATAGCTGCTCCCTGCACCCGAGGCCGCTGCTGCCTTGCCCCCTGCCGGAGCGGCCCTGTCGGCGGGCGACGGCGGTTTGCGCCGGTGTCACGCCGTCCAGGGCCGCCTTGAGTAATTGGCTGGGACTTTTGGGTTTGCACTACGTTGCCGCACGTACCGCCTTGTGGACGCGGTTGCGCCACACTGCGACCCGTGAAGCCTCGTTGGCCACCAGTGCGATCAGCTCATACGAAGCGGCTGTCACCACATGGTTTACACCGCATAGCTTGCACCACATCGCTTGCACCGCATAGCTTACGCTACAGATGCTGCACAACGTAGCTTGCACCGCATGGCTTTCACGTCCAGTTCTCACAATTATTGCACGACATAGCGCACACAATATCGAATCCATTGCGTCGTTTCCATCTCCCCAGTTTAAGCATAGCTCACACTGGATAGCTTACACCCCATGATTTACACCGCGTAGCGTCCACCTCCAAAATCCAGTAACGCATGTTTTGTGCCCCGCTCTGGCGAACAGATATTTCACCGTGGAAGTGGCGCAGCATACCCTGCAGACGTGCGGGTCAGCGGCCCGGATGGTTTGGCGTGAAGCAAACGGGTCCCGATTTAAACGGGTCCTGGACCCCGGCGTTCCCCCTAGGACCAGCGTTTCTCTTTGAGTTGTAATTTCATGGTCCAGGGGCCCTGGAAGGGGCCCCAGGAGGACCCGTTCCCCTCAGTACCCGCTACCTTTCATGGCGAGGATGGTCGCTCCGCCCTTCACGCGCCAGAGGCGGCTGGGTGCGCGGCCGATCAGCCCCCCGCCCCCGCATGCCGCTAGCGCGCGGGAGCAGAGCGTGGCGGCCACGGCACCAGTGCAGAGGATTTTCGCACAGTGGGACTCGACACCTCATGAGCTGAAAACTAGCTCCCATACCCATGCGGCCCTAGATTCTCTCGGGGTGTGTCTGTGTGATGGGCTGTCCTTCCTCCTTGTATGCCGGACAATCCGGTTGCCCCGATTAGCCTCACGCTGGAGCGGATTGCCTCTGCCTCGCCGCCGACGAAAAATGTGTGTGTGTGTGTTGTGGGATGGGGGTCCCTCCTTGACTGAGAGCCCCTCCAGGGATGTGACAGCCCGCGTCGTTACTCATAGCGCGCCCTCACATCGCGAAGAGCGGGCCAGTACCCCCTGTTAGTCTAAGCTCGCGCTGCCCAGTCACCAACACCAGAAGTGCCAGTTTGTCTGTCGTGCCTTAGCTGCTCTCGCACTCGTCGAGGGGGGCTCTTGCGTGCGCCGCGTGCTGCTCCGCGGCCTTTTGATTGCCCGGTCTCGAGCTCGGCTCCGTTGAAGAGCCGCTTGTGGTTCCTGCAACCTTTGGGAGGCTTTCTTGGCTTGGGCTTGGGCTGGTGACTGATCTGAGCGTCCGTCATTCCAGGCCGCTCAGATGGTCCGAGAAGATGGTGTCGGAGGATCGCGCTGCATCGCCGATGCATCGCCGATGCATCGCCGATGCGGGTCGATATGGAGCCAGATTTCCTCCACGCCGAAGGCGGCGATGTATCGCCGACGTCGCCGATGTCGCCGATGTATCAGCGATGTGGCGCGATCCTCTGACCCCATCCACTCGGACCCAATCTAGGAGGCCTCCAGTTGTCGAGTGCCTATTGGCATTCCCTCCCTGAGCTCATCGTCCGGCACCTCGCCGTGGCCCAACAGCACGCGTCTCCCGTGGGCTGCCTGCCGCATCGCTGGGCTGCCGGCCGCGAGGGCTGGGCGTGCGATGGCCTCTGCGGGGGACCTGGGCATCCGCAGCTGGCGGTCTTGGGCACGGGCAGGTGGCTTTTGGGGCGCCTGCGGCGTCTCTGGGTTGGCTCGTCGATGAGCCCCCGGCGCGGCTTCTTCGGCTCGGCGCCGCGCCCAGTCCAGCTCTCCACTCCGCCAGTGTCACAGGCGCGCCCTCTTCCGCATGGGTCGGGCGAGCTTTGGCGCAGTGTCGACAGGGCCTGGGTCAGGTTGGGTTAGGGACTTGCCACGTTTGGAGGGCGGGGGCTTGTCATGAGAATGGTACGTTCCACAATGTCCAAGATGTTCGAGACCTCCGAGGGGTCCTACTGTTCCACGCGGGCTGCAGGAACGAGGGGCGCCAGATAATCCTTGGACATTCTGGACAGGTATCCGGAGCCAGTCCCAACGACTATCATGACATCGTCCCCGTCAGGTTTCCATGCGCTGCCGCGGGCACTCCTGGCCGGTGTGTGTATCGCACCGAGTCTCCCGATCGCCGGGGCCGCACCGCCCTTCGGTTCTGTGATTGCGGCGGCGGTTCTCATCGGCCAGCCTGGCTCCGCGCCTCTGCGTGGTCGGCGAGCGCGGCCTGCCGACTCGCCATCAGAGGGCTCTTCTGATGGGCCGTTCGAGTATCCAGTTGCGGTGATGGTGTTCAGCCACCGCGACCACATTGGAACAGGAAGGCGAGAGTAGGGCGGCGGGGGGGGAGACGCGGAGGAGAGGAGGAGAGGAGGAAACTGCGTAGGACGCAAGGGGGAGGTGAGTATGATTGAGAATGGACTTTGGGAGAAGGGAGGAGGGAGGGATTGTGGAGGAGGGAGGAGGCGGGGGAAGAGAGAGGAGGGGGGAGGGAGGAGGAAGGAGGGGTGAAGAGAACTTGGAGAAGGTGGAGGAGGAGGAGGACAGACCCGCGAGGTGAAGGATGGAGAAACGAGGAGGAGGAGGAGGAGGAGGACAGACCCGCGAGGTGAAGGATGGAGAAACGAGGAGGAGGAGGAGGAGGAGCAGGAGCAGGAGCAGGAGCAGGAGCAGGAGCAGGAGCAGGAGCAGGAGCAGGAGGGGGAGGGGCGATCAGAAGCAGGATGAAGAGGAGGAGGAAGGAGAGAGGGAGGGCCATGGGTGGCCCGAACCGCGGCCCCCCCGCCGGGGGGACTGCCGAGTGGCGTGCCGGCCGTAGCCCGCGGGCCGACAGACGCCAGGCGGGCGCAGCAGCCATAGATTCTCCAGTCGCGCTGAACACGGCCTCGCGATTCCAGGAATTGGAAGCCTTGTGCGGCGGCGGCGACCGACGAGCCCGCATCGAGGGCCAAGAGAAGACAACTGAGAATTAAGCGAGTGGCGGTGCGACAAGCTCTGGCTGCCGTGTCCGACCTGTGTAATTACCCACAGATGGGCCGAAGCCACAGCAGCACACAACCCAGGGGGCAGATCTGGAATCTCAGTTGTCGCGTCTCCAAGGGTTAGCAGCAGAAGTGCGCCAGATCGAAAAAGACGCACATGCGATACGACAATCAGCGGGCCTAGGACTCAGCAGGAATGCTCCGGAGTTCGTCCCCGGTTCTTTGCAGTGCTGGACGGGAGCCAGCGTAGCGGCGGGCGTCGGCAGATACGATATTGATTGCGAGCATCGCCTGTGGCAGCAGACAGCACATGTACAATCGACTGCTCGGCAAACCCTGACTTTCTCGCTCTGTACAGGGGGGGGGCGGGGGTCGGAGTGGTGCATCAAGAGGTGGCTCAAGAAGTGGTGCATCAAGAAGCGAGAAGGGCCCAGGCGACATCAGCTACAGACCAGAACGTGCGGGAAAAGACATCGGAAGCAAGCGGCAAGACTTGCGTACCATGGACGCCATCAGTTACAGACCAGCACCTTCGAACAATGACCACACTGGCTGCGGGCAGTGGCAGCAGGCAGCGGTGCGAGAAGATCTGGCAGTGGGAACAGGCAGGGGTGCGAGAAGACCTGGCAGTGGCAGCAGGCAGAGGACCGAGAAGTGACAGAGAGGGGCCCACTGGGTGGGCAGTGGTGCAGCGGCTACGGACAATGGTGCAGCACGCAGTGGAACGATGAGCGGCAGCGGCAGCAGTGGCAGACGACGCAGCGCACGAGCAGGAGCGACAGTAGCAGGCAGTGGCCGCACTGGCTACGAGCGTGGCACCGAGATTCAGAGACCCATCATCATCAGCTACGAGAGTGGTACACCGAAGCGGGAGCCTGATGTCATCGGCCACAAGGCCGGCGTCGCGAAGCACACTCCGGACGTGGCCAGCAGCGAGGGTGGCGACGTACAGCACGAGCCCGATGCCATGGGCCACGACGTTGCACGCCGAATTGCCAGGAATGGAGTCGCGAAGCACGAGCCCGATGCCATCAGCTACAAAGGAAGCGCTTCAAAACACGAGCCCGACGCCATCAGCTACGAGGGCCCTATCTAGATGGCCAGGCGGGCGCGAAAGGCCTTCTTCGCGAGAAGCCAAACCATCGAATGCTGGCAGTGGCAGCAGGCAGTGGTGCGAGAAGGCCTGGCCGTGGGCGCAGGCAGTGATGCGAGAAAAAGCAGTGAGAGCAGTGGTGCTGTGGCTGCTGGGAGGGATGCGGCAGGCAGCGGCGCGTGTAGAGCCGGCAGCGGCAGCAGCATAGGCAGCAGGCAGCGGCAGTTGGCAGCTCTCAGTGGTTTAGCAGGCAGTGGTGCCCGCCATTAGTTATACTTGGCCCAGGTCGGTTTCTCTTTTGCTCGATATACATACGTATCTGAACGACTGGGGTACTCTGACATCGCGAGGAGCAGGAGGGACGATGAGGAACGGCATGAAGAGGCGGCAGAGGCGACAGCGACAACGCTGACAGCTATTACGAGGAGAGCGACGGGTCCCAACTCCACCATGAGGAGAGCGATCGAAACAGATACCACGTCGAAGGCGGTGGAGATCCTGAACTACTGCGGGTGGCTATCGAAAAGGCGGCCCGGTCAGGCAACCGCGACCTCGTCAGGATCCTGTTGGCACACAGGCTCAGAAAAGAGATGGCAGTGGCTGCAGAAAGCCGAGAGACTGAAGACCAGGCATCGTCAGCTACCTCCGTGGGCCAGCGCGTGCGAGAAGAACCAGCAGTGGCAGCTGGCAGCAGTGAGGGAGCAGGATGCCAGACATCATCAGCTTCATGCGTGGGCCGGCAGGGGCGAGAGCGGCCGATAGTGGCATTGGATAGTGGTGCCGGACGCTGGGGCGTAGGCGGCAAGCGTTCTGGCCGAAACGACATGGTGCGCGGCGAGCACCTGGTCTACGTCGGGAACCTCCCCTACGACGTTGGCTGGCGCATCCTGAAGGACCACATGAAGCAGGCAGGCGCGCTGTACAGCAGAGTGATCGGCGAGGACGGCACTGTCTACGGCAGTTCAATGGGGTATGGATATGTGTGCTTCCCCACCGAAGCTGAGGCCTAGCAGACCATCGCCACTATCGCCGAGATGGAGCTCATGGGTCGTAGGATACTTATCAGGTGGTACCAGATGGAATGTGGACAAGCGTTGGCAATCGTGTGAGTGGGGTCGGCACTGGCCACAAGTTGGGTACAATGCAGCATGAACCACATGTGTGGAACAGCGCGCGCGGGAGCGGCCGGCAGAAAGGCGGGAAGAGTGGCCCCGCTGGCGGCGCGCGGCCATCGGCCTCGCTCTGTGGTCGTGGAGCCGAGGGATGGCTGTCATAGCCGTGTGAGAGGAGGGGAGGAAAGGAGGGAGGACATGGGCATGGATGATCTCTTTTTTGCCGCGGTCGGACTGACCAGTCCGGCACGATCTCCGGGCGCGCCCCACCTCACGTTCGTCGGAGCTCGAGACATGGGGGTCGATGTAAACGGGGGTCAGCCAGAGCGCGGGATCTTGCAGAATCCTGCAAGGCCAGGTCGCATTGACCCTGGGGTGGGTGTAACATCCTGCAGGATCCTGCAGGATCTTGCTGGATCTGGCAAGGCCTCACTGACCCGGGTCTGGATTGACCCGGGTCAGAAGATCCCCGAGTTCGGGCGGCAGGTGGGCTCGTGTGGCATGATCCATCGGGGTGGCAGGCGCGGTTCTCCCGCATGCTCTGCGCTCGCAGCTGGCCCCGGGGACACGCCGCGGGCGCCGAGCGGGCAGGGGCGAGGCCCACCAGCTCACAGGACCAGCCTGGCGCCGAAGGGCCCGCACGCCGAAGGGCCCGCCGCGACGACAGACGACGGCAGCGATTGCGACGGCACGACAGGGAGAGAAGCGCCACTTTGGCCACGACTCGCCCGGGGGACACCTGGCCTGAGAAGTCCAGGTTTCTATGGGAGGCTGCGGAGGAGGAGGAGCAGCAGCAGCAGCATGAGCAGGGGATGATGATGATGCTGATGCTGATGCTGATGATGCTGACGCTGATGATGATGATGCTGATGATGCTGATGATGATGATGCTGCTGCTGATGATGATGATGATGATGGTGATGATGATGATGATGATGATGATGATGTTGATGATGATGATGCTGATGATGCTGATGCTGATGATGATGATGCTGCTGACGCTGATGATTATGATTATGAGGATGAGAAGGGCAAGACAAGACAAGACACACTTACGATCCACTGAACTGCTACACATGGCAAGCAAACAACAAGAGAAGGGCGCCTGGAAGTTGCAGTTGACCTATTCTGGATCTGTGTACGCTTCTGTGAGCGTCTGTCTAGATCGCTCTGCTGGGGGGCACCACTGGCTCGATCCGAGAACCTCCTTTCGGGAGAAACCTGGAGGCCTCGGCTAAGCACCGCACCGCAGCTGAACGGATATGCAAGCGAGTCGAGAGGTCGCTTGCCTGCATCATGATATGGAAATATGAAGTGCACAACCGACGAATCAACATGCACACGCACACGTTGCACAATGTGAAAATGCTGAGTGCAAGACAATTGAACTGACAGGGCAACAGAGACGAGCTCAGAACAGAAAATGACCTCCGCGCCCGAAGGCCACCCAGTCCTGCCTTACGGCTGGGGATTGGAGATCCTGTCATCATCGCCCGTGTGGTACAACTCATGGTTTGCACGCGTGCTCACAAGTTGGCGATGGGCCTGGTCATCAGAAGAGACTATGGCAACCTGTGGGCCAACTCGCATTCTCATAGATCGCACATTCGAGGCCCGCCGAGCCAAATCCACCAGAGAAATAGTGTGCTGCAACTCATCTACATAGAAGACTCTGAACTCCTGGCCAGCGGGCGTCTGGTAGCTTGAAATCGGCTCTGAGCACCCATTCTGCAGATTAGATAGGCCAACATGCTGTAATAAGCCATCTCTCGCCATCTGAGCCATTCGAGCAGACCCCCTAATCGTAGTCAAGGTAGCTAGCCCTCGCTGAGCTCGTCCTCGCTGAGCTGCTCGTCCTCGTCCCTCTTCATCCCGCGCTTCCCCAGCAGGCGCTCCGCTTCGCGCTCGAGTCCCCCCCTGGGGGGGGGCTCCAGGCTTGAACTGGCCCCCGTGCGAGACCAGGCTGTGGAACCGTGCCGACGTTCTCCCCGTCCCAGGCGATCGTCGACGTTTGGAGTTTGAAGAACTTCGGCTGCACTTTCTTCTTGCGATTGTAGTACGTCGGCCGCATCTGTGCAAGGTCTGCAAACTCTAAGGACTGGGCAGCAGCCAAGGATTCACGCAAGTTACGCCGTTGGGCCAGAAGAGAGAGCATCTTCTGGGACTTCTGTGGGTAGTCTGCCGAGCGCTGTGCATTCTGGGCAAAAAACTTTTCCTCAACCGTGCTGAGTAAGTTAATGAAGTAGCCCCACTCTGCATTAGGTGTCTCCTCCTCCCTCCTGATCCGCTGCCAGTGCTCCTGCTCCTCCTGAAGTGTTGATTCAAGCTCCTGCAAGAACTCAGCCCTCCCCACTGCACTCCTCAAGCTGTCCATCAATGCCTCCTTTCTCCACCTGACATACCGAGGGGCACATCCAAGGCGAAGGTTGAGTTGCAGTCCTAATGTTTCTCCTCCTGTGGTGGCCTGGATAGTATATTCAAATCGGGCATACAGCGGAAGATGGTCGCGATGATCGCGATGTCTGATTAACTGCAACTTCCTATCAAGACTTCTGAGCGGTCCTGCCGAGGTGATCTGTGGGGGCGAACATCGATGTATGCAGATGTAATCTTCCAGCGATGTGCCACCAGCAGGTCCTGCATATGTAGGACCGACTCCAATATGCAAGTTGATCGGGACCAAATCGAGCATCTGAAGGAAGGGCAGTAGCACATCCGCTGAGTGACACAGACGACCCAACCAGTGAGAATGCCCTAAGCGATCGTCCTGTACTGGCGTCCAGTCCTCGCTTCCACTCAGACGCTGCTGCCCAGACGCTGAATTCAAATCCATGGCCACTATGGGGAAGCAGGTATGCGTAATTGATCTTTTGGGGATACGTGGGCCAAGCAAAATACTGCAACAGCTACGATTGCTGCCCGCTGCCCTTGCCCATCCTGCTTTCAGTGTCCACCTCCTCCCCGCTCTCCTCCAAACGATCTCATCCCTCCCATATCGCCGTGCACCCGTCCCTGTGAGACAGACGAAGTCGAACTGTGATGTAACCTCTGCCACATCCACCAGCCTATCATGTGGTGCCGCAGACATCGGGTTGTACTGCATCACCGAGATGCCATTCATGATGCTACACTGGCTCCTGGCGGCCAGCAGCGATCCTCAAAGCATCAACACTCAAAGGGAGAGTCCCATGAGGATGTCCATCCGAGCTGTGGCGCAGCTAGCACCGTCACCAAAAAGGGAAGTGTGGTGGGGGGGATAAGGAAGGCTGCGTTATCAGAATGTTGCACCCCCCCGTCTGGGCCGGGGTGCTTAGGATGAGAAGGAGGAGGAGGAGGAGAAGGAGGAGCAGGAGGAGGAGGAGCATCCAGTGAAGGAGCACGAGGAAGAGGAGGAGACGTGGAGGAACATGATGAACAGGAGAAGGCGAATGACGGCGAGGATGGGAAAGGGTTAACCCTGGGGACTTTCTTCTGGCCCCAGGTTTCTTGACCAAGGTCGGCCAGAACGCCTCTACCAAGACGGGTGAGCTGCCGCAGCCTTGGGTCGAGGAGTGACTCGCACGCTTTGGTCCTCTCTTTCCTCTTCCTTCTTTGTCTCGATGCTCTTTCTCTTTTGCTCTCTCTCTCACACTTTCTGCCTCCGTCTCTCTCTCTCTCTTTCTCTCCATCTCCCCCTTCTTTTCTCCATGTGTCTCTCTTGATTATTCGGTTCTCCTCCTCGGTCCTTCTCATCCTCGTTCTTTTTCGATCCTCGCTTTCGTAGTATTGCCTCGTTCCTCCTCGTTCATGCTGCTCGTTCCTGGTCGTAGGGTCTTCTCTTTTCTCTTGCTCTCTCTCTCTCTCTCTCGCTCTCTCCTTCTCTCCTCTGCATTCATTCTTCAGGTTTCTTCCTCGAGGCGTTTCCTCGTTTCTCATTCATCGTTCCTCCTCCGTATCGTTCCTCCTTGCTCTCCCTTTCTCTGTCCTCAGTCCTTGCTCCGGCTCCTCGTTCCCTCTCATCCTCGTTTGCTGTTCCTTCTTCCATATCCTTCGCTTTCTACAAGTATCCATCAGGCCTCCCATTCTCCTCATCCTCGTTCCTCCTTCTCTTTCCTCCTCCTCGATGTCCCTCCTCGCTTCCTCTTGCCTCCTCGCCCTTGTTCCTCTCTTTCGCTCCTCTTTGCTCCGCCTCTCAGCTCTGACGCGCTCCTTTCGCTTCAGGGAAGGAACCGATACCGGTACCTCTGCCTCGTTTTCGCTCCGTTGGGCCTGCTGGGAAGCCCTCGTCGCCACGGCTGGACTTGCATCGAAATTCTGGCCAGACCGCACCACGGGAGTGGTCCAGGGAGTAGCGGCACCGGTATATTTTGGTATCCATGCTCTTTTCTCGTCGTCAGCCGCGCGCAAGAGTGATCTTTCGCCGGAGTCACCTTCGGGTGAGGGCCCACCCGGATAGGAGGGCCCACTTCGCTCCGATCGTTCGGAGCCAGATTCCGGCGATCCGATGCGGCTCGATCTTGCAGTGCGACCCCATGCTGCACGGCGCTGCTGTGCAACCCGTCCTGGCGTGGCCGATCCGATTCGCTTCCGGCTCACTGGGGGATGGGGGATCTTCTACAAGAGCGCGAGTAAAGCATGTTTTTGGAAGAAAGCTGACCGCCCCAGCCCACGCGCATGGGTGCGCCCCCCGACGCGGCCCCCCGAAGCCGTGCAGCAGAAGCTCCTTTTCTCTAGGGGGGTCACTCGTTCGTGCAGCTAGCCGATCTCCTCTTTCCTCTCTGGGTCGCGCTCCGTCGCCCGTCGCCGAGAGCGCCGGTCAACCCCCAGTGTTCAGAGCAGTCGTCCTTCGTTGGGGTGCACCCCGTGTGATGTTCTGAATTGTCTCGGTCCCCCGCGGAGCTGTCCCGCTCCTGTATCATATCCTCCCCCATCCGCCTCCTCGTTCCTCGTCGGCTGGACTTCGAGAGCATTCCTCGTGGCCACGGGCCGGGATGCTGGCAAGATTGGGCCTTGGGAGCGGTCTGGGGACAGGTTTCGAGCGGAAATTTGTCGGAAGTCAGGCGGGGTGGCGTGAATGATGAAGAGACATTTTGAACGGGAGAGGGAAGAGGATCATCACTTTGGTTACATACACATGTACCTGTACTCGTTCTCGGTTTACATGTAAGTGTTAGCAGATTCTATATCGTGTGAGCCACCCTCTAGTGAAATCATTCGCTTCGCAAGCAATGCTGACTTCATCGTCGATTTCCCATCCAGACGTGCGTGTGTGGTCGCAACGGAACTTCGGCGACGCTGTTTATCACTACTTCTGGCTTGGCTGCATCGTGCCGACTACTGAGATATTGGCGGATTTCGTGCACACGGTCGGCAATGCGAGGGGTGTCGGGCCATGGCCAACTGGGATGCGCCAGAGGCCGGTCGCTGCCTACAGGCAATGGCTTCCCGCTCGAGTGCGAGGTACCAGGGGCGGGAGCGGCGCAAGCTGGAGGACCTCCGCGACCAGGACAAGCACCTCTGGCTGCGGGAGGAAGTCCACGCCATCTGGAAGGAGCTGGCATGGGACTCGTGGGAGTAGCTGAAGCAGACGCTCCGCAAACTTCTGAAGGGAAAGAACATGGAGTCCCCGTCCCTGGACACCTGGACACCCTGACGAGCCACAGGAGAAGGCGAATATGCCTTTCTCCTTGTGCCTGCAGTGGCTCGAGTCGCCTGAGGCTCCACTGGGCCGCACGGGGACGTGGGCCCCCGCCAGCAGTGCGGCTGGACGTGGAAATGCTTGAGACGGGGTTGCGCCGGCGATGCTTTGTCGGTGCTTCAGTTCCCACTGGCAAGGTTTGGGAGGGGGGAGGGGGGCAGGCTCAGGGAAGGGGGATGCATCGATGCTCAATCGTCCACTCATCGCCGATGGGGGCCTGATGGCCCCACCCTGCCCAGGACCGCGCGGTTGCACCTACGCATCGAGGGTCTATTGCTGATCTGTTGGCGGTGTATCACCGATGCCAGGTCGATTTTCCTCCCTGAGGTGGTCCCCCGCTGACGTTCCCTTGGTAGGTTCACAGCGACGGTGGCAGCGGCCCGTCGCGGCTGCGACGGGGTCGGCGAGGCACCGCTGGGAGGATCATGAGCGCCATGGCGCCACGAGGGAGGAGCCGCGCACGCTGCACGACGCTGCCGCGGCGGCGTGGGGCCCGCGCCTCGGCGCCCCGCTCTGGGAGGTGGTCGCCGAGGAGGAGCTGCAGCCGCCCCCGGCAAGGAGGGCCTGCGCCCTGCAGCGCGCCAAGCGGTCAGGCCTCGGGCTGTGCACAGGCAGCCCCCCACGGAAGTCCTGGCTGGCCTCGACCGACCTCCCCTGAGCAGCCTCAACGCCCCAACCCTGGGGCGCGGAGCGCCCCAGGGGCGCCACTGGAGGCGGCGCCGCGGTGCTGAAGCAGGCCCAGGCTACTCGGGGGACCTGTTGATGCCAGCTGGGGCTATGCGGGGGGCTTGTTGAGGCCAGCAGACCTGAGGAGGCTGTCCGTGCGCGACCCGAAGCCTTACTGGCGGGACAGTCTCTTGCGCGCAGTGGGGAGCCTCTTCGTTCTGCTAGCTCACGTGCAAGTTCGAAACCGATCCGTGCGCTCCTGGAGAGCGTGCGCGGCCTGTCCGCGGCTCCGACAATTGCAGGGCGACGAAAACGCGGGCATGCCATCGCGACCGCGGTGTCGATGCATTTCTCGGCCACCCTGGAGACGCCCAAGGGAAAACACGGCGGCGGCGCACGGTGCAGAGCGCGTTCGCCCCGGAGTCTCACGAAGCTGTCCAGTTGGCCCAACAGGTCGCTGATCGCGCTCAGCGCGCCTTGCCTCAGACACATGCTGTTCATGGAAGGGGCAGGCCCTGCGAGCTGCCCCTGGCGCCGCGACGGACATCAGCAAATTGTTTTTCGATTGGCAGCTTCACGGGGGGACTGGCCCCGTCCAAACGGGTGGTTTCACAACTTCCACTGTCGACTGAACGTCGGCGTCTTCTACGTCGAGGGATTCGCTTGCTTTGTTTCCACAGGCGATGAGGGCCCGCACTGGTCGCTCTGCGACCCCGGCGGGGATCTCTGGAGATGTGCAGCGGCGCCGTGCCTGGCGGGTCGCTTAGGCGACCATGGACACGTGGGGAAGGCTTGACGATGCCTGCAGCCCGTTCCGTATCTGCAACAGCGGCGTCCATAAGGAGCGTGTCAGAAGGCCAGCCCCTCAGTCGGTCGTGCCGCCCCCAGCCTGCGTGGTGGACCCGTCAACCACGAAGTGCAGTCAAAAGCGGATGGATCACAAGTGGTGCCAGTCGTGATCGACATCGTCGTGTTGAAATGCAGATTGCCAGTTGTCGCACGGGTATCTTCCTTTTCGTTGGCCCGTTGATGTTGCTGCTCGATTGAGAGGCGTACGCCCGAGCGTCCAGGTCTCCTCCAACGAGGGTGTCACCCTGCCGCTCGTGCAGCACGCGCACCTTGCGGAAGGGCCAAAAGCATCCACGAGTCCCGCGCGCCAATCGCACCTTTGCAGGCAGAGGGGCCGGCGGATCGGAGACGCTTCCGGTGAATCACCGCCGCCCCCTGCCTTCTGCAAGCGCCTGTGTGGCCGAAGCGTGTGGCCAGAGCGCAGCAAAGCTGTCGGACCATGTGCTCCCGCGGCCCGGGCGGGGCCTGTCGCGTGCCCCAGCGAGGGCCGCCGGCGGCGGGCCGCCCACCACCGCCGCGGCGCGGCCCGCCTGCAGCCCGCGGGCGGGGCTTGCGGGCTTGCGGGCGCTGCGCGCCGCGCAGCTGGCGCGCAGTAGCAGCAGGCAGCCGCGGCGGCGCGGCGGCGCTCGCGGCCGCGGCCGCGGCGGTGCTGCGCCTCCCTGGGGGCCGGGCGCCGTGCCCGACCGCGGCGGGGCTGGCACGCCCAGCCGGCGCAGCCCCACCGACGGAGGCCGCGGTAGCCTGCCTGGGACTGCGCGCGCGGGCGCGCGCGTCCCTCCCTCCTTCCCGCAGTAGTGTGCGGTCGTTGGGTAAGGAATGCGCCCAAGAGGCGTCAGACCCTGGAGGAGTCCTTATCTGATGAGGGCGGCGGTGACATCCATGGCCAATGCGCGATTGGAGTTCCACTGGCTTCCAGACCTTGACTTCCTTAGCCAACGGTTCCTTATTCGATGCCCTCACCGTATCGTCTACCCAGATGTATGGGAGCGGGCCCTACGGTGAGGTTTTTCACCGTCTGTCGGGCTCCCGGGGCCCTCTGCGTGCCCTGGACCTGTCTGAAGCGACTCGGGCTGAAGGGCTGTGGTCCTGGGGGGGAATTCTTCGGGTCTGGGGCCTGTTTCCCTCAGGCCTCCCTTCCCCCGCATCGCTTAACCGACCCCTCCCTATTCCCATCTCTATTCCCCTCCAGGCCCCCACCGTCTCAGCGCCCCAGTTGGGGATATGCCCCTCGAGACGTCGAGGGAAGCAGCGTCCCCATCCAGGGCGGGGGGGGAGTCGGTGCTCATCCTCCCCCCCCCCTCGCCGCGCCCACCTGTCGCGTCGTCCTCTCGTCTTTCGTTCCTCCCTCCTCTTGCCACTGGGCTCCTATTGCGTTCAACTATCAAGGTGGTTTTCCCCCAGCCGTTATGGAAACGCTTCGGGGAGCACGTGGGGGAGAAAGAAGAAGAGAAGGAGAGATCTCTTCAATCTTTCCTGGAGGCTCTCTTGGCGGCCTGTTGGGGGAGGGGGCTCTCGGGCCGTCTTGGGCTTTCTTGGAGCCATCTTGGGCCATCTTGGGTGCATCTTGGGCCGTCTTGGAGACATCTTGTGGCCATGTTGGGCCCTTTGGGGGCCGTGTTAGACATCTTGGAGTCATCTTGGAGGCCATCGTCAGCCATCTTGGCCGTCTTGGAACGAGAAGACCGATGATCTAGAAAGTTTACGGGTCTCTAAGTATGGGGCGCTTTGGAGGCCATTTGGGGGTCATTTGGAGCGGGAAGGCCGGCTTATTGGGAAGTTTAGGTATGGGTCTTTGTGGGTGGTCGGCGGGATCGGCAGAAGGACCACTGGGAATTTTCAAGATGGGCCAGACATCATTGGAAAGGCGAATGGAAACCAATGATTTTGGCATCTTGAAGGTCCTTTTGGAACCCGCTTGGGGCGTCTTGGGGGCCGTGTCGGGAAATATGTGGGCTATCCTGCGTGCGTCTCGGGCCGTCTTAGAGCCATCCTGGTTCTATGTTGAACTCTTTTGAGGATCGTGGCGTCGATTTAGCGGTTTTGTCCGTCCTTGCGGGTCCTTCCAGGTTGCCAGCGGGTTGGGCCGAAGGCTTTTTGGGAGTTTGTGTCAAAGAGCTACTGCCGAACATCTGGATCGCCGAGCGCCCCTGTGACAAGCCACCGCGGGCGGCGGACCCGTTGGTTTTCGACAAGCCGCCATCGTACCTGGTCGGCCAAGCGCCCTGCTTCTTAGCAGGCGCGGGCCTCACCTGTAGATGTAAGGCCGGTGCCTTCTAAGAAGCAGCCTCCTGTTACGAAGCCCCCTTGTGCGCGCGGCCAAGCCTGAATCATTGATCAGATCCCTCTTCGATCCTGCCTGGGGTCGCTGGGGGGGGGTCTTGGCGGCCTCGTTGAAAGCCGTTCGTGGGCTTCTTCACGCTTTTGGTGTCGCTCGGGCGTGGGCATTCTATTCCCGCAAAGGAGCATCGAACAGCATCTTAGATCATCTTGCGAAAAGCAAGCGCGCGAAACCGAAGCATGCACGGGGAATAGGCGTCATGGCGACGGCAAATAGGGACTTCTCGGAGGTCTCGTTGGGGCCTCTCGGGGTCTCTGCTTCTTTTGTGTGTTTGTGTGGGGAGGGGGGGGGCTCTTGTGAGGGCCTTCTGGCAGTCTGGGGGGCCATCTTGGGAGGCAGGGCCCCGCCGCCCCGCAAATCAGTCCGACGTGCTGAGATGCCCCTCTTGGGACCCCCCCCCCAATGCCGCCTTGGAAGCTTCTCGGGCCGTCTTGGAAGCCTCGGGGGCCGGCTTGGAGCGAGCCTCCCCCCCCTATGCGGGCCAGCCTTCTGCCTTCTCCTTCGAGTCCTCACCCTCGACCTCATCCGTCCCTGTCTTCGTCCTTCTTCCTGCTTTCTCCCTTCCCGCCCTCCTCATCCTTCTCCTCGTCCCCCCTTCCCTCTTCCTCCGTCTCACTCCTCCTTCCTCCTTCCTCCTCCTTCCTACTCCCTCCTCCCTCCTCCTCCCCTCCCTCCTCTTCCTCCCCCTCCTCCTCCTCCTCCCACACCCCCTCCTTCTCCCTCACCCTCTCCCTTTTCGTCATCCCTCCCTTGCCCTCGCCCCCCCTGGCGTTCCTGGCTGCCCTCTCCGCTCCCGCGGCTGGGGGGGGGCTGATCAGTGAGCGGGGGCAGCGAGGGCTGCAGAAATGGGCCCTTAAGGGCCCGCTCCTAAAGGGGCCCCCTTGGGGCCCAAGAGTGGGCCATGAGGGCCCGAAAAGTGCACATCTTCTGCCCCCCCAATTACTTGGCATCGCTGGAAGGTGTGCCTTTTTTCTCGGCGGGAATCAATGACAAGCATCCTGGATCACCCGGCAACCAAACAAACCCACTCGCGAAACCGAGAAAACGCACGGGGAATGGACGTCCAAGCGATGGCAAGTTGATCGCCCCTTCCATTCTGCGACGCCCAACGCCTGCCCCGCGTCCCCCACGAGGAGCTCAAGACGCTGCAGGATCGGCTCCCCGTCTCGCCCTTCCGGGAGGTGCGGAAGACCGTTCGCGAGGACCTCGGTAGGCCCTTGGACGAGATCTTCACCGGGTTCGAG